TCTGTCAGGACTTGACATAATGGACCGAATAATGCTCGAAAAGAATGGGAGAACTGTTGAGTACTTCCCAGGAGAAGTGTCTACCGATCGCATTACTGCTATTCAGGTTCTTTATGTCTACTCAAGCTATGTTCACTTATTTTCTCGGTGATTTGGGCATTCATGCTATTACCATGGGAATTGTACAGGAAGCGTACTGGAGTATGGCATCTGCTCTCTCTGAAGCTGATGGAATCGACTATACTGATCCCGAAGAGGTTCAAGTTTCTATTACTATTTCCAATCCATTGCAGTAATGTCATTTTAATTACGGCTTTCTTTCATTAACCAAATCTTTTTTTATGGAGCAGCTTGAGTTGTTGATTGCAACTCTTATAGATCTGGATGCAATGGATGGAAAAAGTAGTGTTTCACTATTGGCAGAGTGTTCAAGTTCTCCTGATGTCAATACTAGGTAATTTGTTATGGCATCACTATCTACATACTATATTCCTAACAATGCGGTGTTTTACACTCATCACGGTCAAAGCTTTGGCCCTAAACCTGCTCCCGTTTTAACAAACCAAAGAGCTAGTAATTCAACCAGTTGTGCAATTTACTTCAATATATAGAAAACCTGGGCTTAGCACTAAGTTGAGATGAGGTTGGACGAGTAGAAGATCCCAAATACTACTAATTCCATCAGCTTCTTTTTCATCCATTAGAAGATTGTTGGGTTTTTTTAAGATCGCTTATTAAAAAGTTATTAAATGATGGCATCATTGAAACAGTCGGAGATATTGTTTGCCCAATAGCTGAGATCTCTCCAAGCATAGCCTATTCTAGTTCTAGCACCAGAAGAGCAATTTCAGAGGGAAAAAAAATCTCAAAATACGATGAAAGAACAAATTTCTCATGCGTGGTTGTTTTGGTGTATATTCCGTTCTACAGTAATCATCCATGTTCCCTTTTTGTTTCGCTACAATGCAGGAAAGCATTAGCTAATGCGTTGGCTATAGCTCCATCCATGTGGACTCTTGGTAATGCAGGCATGGGAGCATTACAGGTGATATTGACTGTTATAAACATCAATCAACAATCATTCTTGTTCCGGTGATAACGAAAACTGATGCATGTTTGTTCTGCTTCCAGAGACTTGCAGAAGATAGCAACCCGGCAATTGCGGCTGCGGCATCCAAGGCTATCTATGAACTGAAGAAACAATGGGAGATTGAGGAAGGGGACAGCTGGAGGTTTATGGTAAGCCAAATCCAAAAAATTAAGGAAGAAGGAAGTGAAGGAGATGACAATGATACAGATACAATTTGAGAAGTGTTTTGAAGATTCTGCTGTAAATACCAAAGAAGCTCTAATTAGTCATAGGATAAGCCCACTAATCACAAGAAAATAAGTAATGCTAATGTATAAATCCAGTGCTACTGCTAGCATGTGTTTATTCATACGCAAAAAAAAAAAAAAAAAAAAAAAAAAAAAAGGGTGCTAGCATTTTGCGTTTTAAGGGTACCTTCTTTTGTCAAATCTATTCCCAAGGCTTTCTACAAGTGCCCAAATTTAGTTTTATTTCTCGGGTCTTGTACACCCAAAAAACATGGGCTTCATATACAACTTTGGTGTTGTTTATTCATAAAGGATAATCTTATGCAATAATAGAGTTATAGAGGTGGGATAACTGATATAAGCACATGGAGATTTGAAACAGACCAATTGGAATTTGGACATGGTAATTGAGATGACTAGTAAACTATTTCACTGCACAAGATTACCTTGGTTTACCAAATTTTTGTGCTTATCTGAACTCTGAAAGTGTCTTTTGAATTTTGAAGCATATGCAAACGGCCATATAAGCTCTCTCTCTCTCTCTCTCTCTCTGAAAGAACTCTTTAGCTGTTTATACTCAGTTAAGTGTAATATGAACAATCTGTGATTATGATTATTTGGTTCCAGTAGATGTTGGGCTGAGCTCCATATATCAATGAGAAACTTGGGAAATTTACCCCCTCTCAAGTTAATACATAAATTGTGAAAGTGACGAATTCCTGTTCATAAACTGGGTCCACAAAATGATGGAAACCAACCAAATGAGATATTTAAATAAAGTGAACAACGCACACAATCATATAAATTACAAGATAATCAAAGCGTGTTATAAGCCTGTGCTTTTGGGGTGGCTCCTCTTTCAACTCTTGTGTGTCTAGTGACTGGGGTTTAATCTTCCTTTTCTTTATGCTTCTGTGGGGACTTTTTAGTTCTTTTTTTTATTTTTTATTTTTCTGGTACAACCAGCTTTTGTTTTTCCTCAATTTTCAACTTTAGTTTGGTAAGGTTTTAGTTGGACACTTTGTACAATATTCCATACATCCATTCAACTATCTTTTTCAAAAGTAAAGGAGAGCAGAGAGGCCCAAAAGAGCAAAAGGCAGAGAGCATAAATCAAAGGAAGATCATTAGCCATCTTTATTCATAGAAAAAGGCTATCACACTCTGCCATCTAAATCCATTTCCTTATCTTTTTCAAGTCACTTTTTTTTTTCTTTTTCTTGCAGCTTAACCTTTTTCCTCATGCCTGCCACTGTTGACACCCATGTTTCATCATTCCCGACACTTTACTATCAATAATAGTTATAAAAATAATCTCTAATTAATTTGTATTTAATTGCTTATGCTTAACTGTTAATTACAACACTCAATGTCATGAAAACGCTATTTTGACGTTTCGAGATGGGGGGATGAATGTGGTATGCGGATGACATCGAGTGTTAGCTCAGTGGTTTTTCTAAATGCATTGTAATCAACCGCATTGTTTATAGGTTATTCATATTCAACCAAATTCTATTAATCAGCTTATGACCATCTTATCTGATTGAGGTTTTCCTTTTCCTATTTTACTGAGGTTGTTTTGATTATTTGATCCATGGAATAAAATGCTAGCTTTTCTGTCTTCAAAGAAAAAAAAAAAGAAAAAGAAAAAATAATCATAGACAATGTTAAGAAAGGGAAGATCTGCATAAAATGTTTTCCTAATTGAATTTTCATAAAACTATTAGTAATGTAAAACCTGATTGTTACTGAAAAGTAATGTAAAACCTGGTTGTAATCATGGTACACCATACACATCCATAAAGTGGAACCATTTTGGAAAAAAAGTGGCAAAAATAGAATTAGATAGGCTCCTCTTACCCTTGTGTAAGACTCTTTTGGTAAGCTTCTTTTATCTTTTTAAAATACAATGAATTCAATACCTGTATTTTGTTTATTATTTATTTCCTCTACTCTATGATTTTAAGCCTCAATTAGTGGCATTTGTCTTTAAATTTAATGCATCTCTCTCCATCCCTTTTTACTTTAAGGTTTCTTTAATACATTAGAGCAATTACATTTTCTAGGTGTAACTCACACCTCAAACAAAATATCTTATTTGCCGAATAGCATATATATATATATATATATATTTACCAAACCAAACGAGAATAATACTAATATACAACATATTGAGAGAAGAAGCAAAAAGTTCTACTCTTCATAAACCAAAGAAAAGAAAACACTCTCTTCTCTCTCTCTCTCTCTAGATTGATTATCATATGAAGCACAAAGCAGAATCCATGGCTGCCAACAGATTTGCAACAACGCTGCACAGAAACACCCACAAACTAGTCTTACTTCTGGTTTATGCAGTCCTTGAATGGGTGTTGATACTACTTCTCCTCCTAAACTCTTTGTTCAGTTACTTCATCACCAAGTTTGCCACCTACTTTGGCCTCCAAAAGCCATGTCTATGGTGTTCTAGAGTTGATCACATCTTGGAACCCGGAAAAAAGACCAAGAGTTACACAGATCTCCTCTGCGAGAGCCATGCTGCTGAGATTTCACAACTCGGGTACTGCTCAAATCACCAAAAAATGGTGGAAACAAGAAATATGTGTGGATCTTGCTTCGCTTCATATTCAGGAACAGAAACTAAAATGCCTTCTTCCATTGACAATGACAAGGTTGAGATTGATGAGAATGTTTCGAGGTGTTGTTGTTGTGGCGAGAAGTTCGATAGGGTATATAACCCTGATGATCCTTACTTTGTGATTAATCCTTCCTGGGGGTCTTTAGAGTATGCCCAGAAAGGTGATTTGGTTATGGAAGCTTTGGATGGTGATGAGAACAACAATGGAGGGGAGTTTGATGTGGGACAAGGCCAGCAAGATCGGCATGACGAGGCTGAGGTCGCGGATGATCATGTTGTTGATAGTTTTAACTCCAGAGATACTTTAGAAGAAGATTGTCTAAGTTCATCATCAATGTTCATATGTTATGAAAAAGAAGCAATGGAAGATGGCAAAGCGAGTTTCCTTGATATTATGCGGCAAGGTTCTCATGGAAGCAACGAGTATGTTCGTCAATTGTCTGATGTTTATGTAGGCAAGTGTCGTACTAAAGAAGATGATAATGATTTAACTGAAGATATTCAGTGCTCTTCAAAGATTAATCATAGGATTGGCAACCTTGATCACCGTTTGATTCCCATTGAGTTGATTGATTTTTCAACTAGAGCAGACAAAGGAGGCTGCAGGTTTGAAGAAGGAGATCTATGCTGCAGGTCTAGGATTTCATCACAGCTCAAATTCTCGGGCGAGGCAAAAGTAAATAAGAGTGCAGAGAAGACGGATAACGTAGAACATGAAAACTTGAAAATGGTCATGGATTTGGTTGATCAGTCTGAAAATGGAGATACTGAAGAGAAAAAAGGGGATTTGGTTGGCAATCTAAGTGAACAAGTTCTTACTGCTCAAGAAATCCAATCCTTGCAAATCAATGTCAAAGAAGCAATTATGACAAAACTGTATGACCTACAAGGTACAACTACATTGGAATTGTAAACATTATTTATTTATTTTGGTTAAATTGTAAACTTATTAATTATAAACTTAGATAAGATATGAACCTATCATAAGACATTGCTTTTGATCTATTGGTGGGAAGCAGCAGCATCTGCGAGAGGATTGTCAAATGATCAAATTATGTCAAGAACTTTGGTGAGCACACAAGTGTCCGATTATGCAGACAACAAAGATTTATCTTCTTTAAACAACAATGGTCCTGAAATTCGTTATAAAATTCCCGATGCATTCATAGCTCAGAATGACCATGGTAATCTTGAATTCATACCCATCTTATCCCATGTTATGATTTGTGTAAGAAAAATTTCTAATGCGAAGTTGGTTTTGATAGGTCAAGGTCATACAGAAAAAGCTACAGAGCAAGCAAAACCAAGTTTGTATGACGAGGATCGAGAAAAAATAGAGCAGGCCTGCATGCTTTCGGAGCATAACACGCAAAAGGAGGACAAATTTCCTGACACACCAACTTCTATTGACAGTCTCCACCACTTGGACAAGAAATCGCTAACACCTGAAAAAAGAGAGTCAGGAGCAAAAGAATCCTATGATGGAAGCGTGGTAAGTGAAATGGAAGGAGGCGATGCAGTAACAAGCATTGAACAACTTAAAACGGCACTGAAATCTGAAAGAAAGGCTTTAAGTGTTTTATATGCAGAACTAGAGGAAGAGAGAAGTGCCTCCGCAATAGCTGCAAATCAAACTATGGCAATGATAACGAGGCTTCAAGAAGAGAAGGCTGCAATGCAGATGGAGGCATTGCAATACCAGAGAATGATGGAGGAACAATCCGAATACGACCAAGAAGCCTTGCAGCTATTGAATGACCTCATGATCAAAAGAGAGAAAGAGAAGCAAGAACTTGAGAAAGAACTAGAAATTTATCGAAAGAAGGCACTTGATTATGAGGAGAAAGAGAAGATGAGGATGATTAGAAGGATTAGAGATGGAAGTGTAAGAAGTAGGAACTCTTCTGCTTCTTGCAGCCACGCATGGGATAGTGATGACCTATCGATTGATCTTAACCGCGAGTTGAGGGACGAAGATTGCAGCTCCTACGGCCATCAAGAAAGCAATAACAACAACAACAATAATGCTTCCGTTGATACGGTTCTAAATTTGGAGGAAATAACACTAGACTGTGTAAAGCACATGAGCATTCTTGATGAATCACTGACTGAATTTGAAGAAGAGAGGCTGTCTATTCTTGATCAGCTTAAAGCATTGGAGGATAAGCTTTTTAAATTGGGTGATGAGGATGCGGAATTCTCAAATGATCTTAAATTTATTGCGAGTACCTCCCAATCCAACGTTGAAGACTTTGAAGAAAATCTTACCACCACACCAGAAGAGAGTGGAAAATCAGATGGTTTTGTAAAGGATAATCATGATGACCCTGAGATGAAAATACTCGGTTCCATGGCGAAGAAGCTCCTTCCGCTTTTGGATGCAGCTGATTATAAGGAAAGTGAAGAAGGATTAATGAATGAAGAAAAAGTTGAATCAACGTCTGTTGATATGCTTCATAACTCTCCAGTTTCAAAGTCAGAGTTGGACAGCAATAAAGTGGCCATTGAGGAGGAGGTGGATCATGTCTATGAGAGGCTACAAGCACTTGAAGCAGATAGGGAGTTCCTAAAGAACTGTATGAGCTCCATAAAGAAGGGAGACAAAGGGGTGGATCTTCTTCAAGAGATCTTGCAGCATCTAAGGGATCTAAGGACTATCGAACTCCGAATGAGCAATGCAAATGATGATGCTCCTGGCGAAGTCGCAGTTAACTAATATTGCGGTAAGAGCTGCCTGTCTCTGATTTGTGTTGTTTAGGGAGTGAAAGAGGAGTGTTTTTCCATTTGTATGATAATATTTCCTCTAATTCAAATCTCTTTTGACAAAAAAAGGAAAACCAATTTCTTTTTGTTTGTATTAGAAGTGTAACTTATTAGTCTGACAAATGCAGAATGCTCTTGAAGGTCAGGATCCACGACTGAAGATGCAAGCAGTTCAAGACTTACACTTTTTTTTTTTTGGTTATCTCTTTTGATAGTTAAGTGCAGAACGGTTTGGGGGTTTGACGTGTAAATGTTAGAGAGAGAAACATTGCTGGGTATGCTTTGTTTGAATTGGTGTAGGACACAGACTTTTTTTTTTTTCCCTTTTTGGTTTGTTCTTTTGGAGTGAGTGCAAATTAAAGCCAACAATCTGAAGGCTCTTCAATATGGTCATTACCCAGAAAAGATAAAGATGAGTTATAAGCATCCACATCAACTTAGGGGGTTTTCTTTTTCATAAGTTTGAATAGAAAATATGAACTAAACTTTAAATTTTTATGAGAGAAAAAAGTAGAGTAAAAAGTACGTTTAAATGGGACAAAAAGTGCAAAGAAAAGTTAAACATACCTAAAATACTTTTGGAAATAATGACATCTATGTTTTAAAAGGGTCAGTATTCAGCAGCATTCTTTTATCAATTTCAACTATTTAGAAGTGTTAAAAACTCTAATGTCGCAGGTGCAAACTAACCCCCCAATTATTAGGGGGAAATCACAGAAGTAGGAACTAGGAAAGGGTGAAAACCCAAGTTTCATTCAACAAGGTCCAAAGCTGCGTACAGCCATTTCAAGAGGGATAATAAACCTAGTGGAGCTAAGAGGGTGTTTGGTATGAGAATTCGTATCCTAATTCAAATAATTGGTTCGTGGCTCGCTATAGTGTTTTCTCTCACAAAAATACACGTAAATCGAGAATAGTTCTGAATCATAGTTTTGAGTTCTGAATCCGTGAACCAAACGTCCACTACGACAAGCTCAATTCAAAGGCCTGAACATTAAACGACTTGCAGCATAAAACTAACGGCGAGCCGTTCCGGCACATATTCAAACGACACTACGCTTGGCTTATTACAAGGAACATAGCATAAAGACTAGTTCCCCTGTATCATATATACACATGATTTAATTTGTGAATATAACGACAGTGTAATTTATACCTATTATTGATTTATATATATATTTTTTTTACAACAGATTTTAATTTTCAGTTAATACGATAAGAAATAAAACAAACAACAATTCCTACGTGTAAGATAAAATAAAAATATTTACAACTAGGACTGGCTATCCGGGTAGTGACACGACGACACGACTCGAAACCCGCACGAAATTAGCAGGTTTGGGTTTATCATAAATAGGTCCGGGTCAAAATCAGGTCGAACCCGCGAAACACGATTAAATAACGTATCATTTTCAGGTTGACCCGCCAACCCGAAATTGACCCGCGATAACCCGTTTAGTAAACATGTCATATTTAGGTAACACGATTATACAACCCGTTTATTACCTAGGTTAAAAAATAAAAATATTTCAATATTAATATATTATTTAATATTCATCTTCTATTCTAACCCTAATGGGGTAAAGCCTAATAGTAGTTTTTATCTTCCCAGAGGACCCAGCCGCCCACATTCGAAGGACTCATTCTTCTCTTCTCCACTCTCTCTCACGCCGCTTCTCACTCTCCTCTCCACCTCTCACTCTCCTCTCCGCCGCTTCTCAGTCCACCGGACCGCCGCTTCTCACTCTCCTCTCCGCCGCTTCTCAATCCACCGGCCGCTTCTCAATCCACCGGACCACCGCTTCTCACTCTCCTCTCCGCCGCTTCTCAGTCCACCGGACCGCCGCTTCTCACTCTTCTCTCTGCCGCTTCTCAGTCCACCAGACCGCCGCTTCTCACTCTCCTCTCCACCGATTCTCAGTCCATCGGACCGCCGCTTTTCACTCTCCTCTCCGCCGCTTCTCAGTCCACCGAACCGCCGCTTCTCACTCCGCCGCTTCTCAGTCCACCGGACCTCTCGAAAAACGAAACAGGTATTTCGGATTTCACTTAGTTGTTGTTCTTGAAACCGGCTTTGTTGTGATCTGTTATGGATATTTGTAATCAGAACACTTGTTTTGGTTGTTGTTTCTTTGTTTCTAATGGGAAAAAAAAGATGGTGTTGTGTCTTTCTCGTTGGAGGAAACAATAATGGTAAATAGAGAACATAAACGAGCGTATAAAAGATGGTGTTGTGTCTTTCTCTGTTGTATCTTTCAGAATAATGGCAAACAAGATCTTTAGAAACTAGCAGATGATGCATCATATTCTAAAACTCTGTTACAAAAAGCATATAATTTAGTCTGAAAGAAAATCAGTCAAATCAAATTATGTTACGAAATCAGGAAAACAAAAATTGCAACCAGACATGATAATATGGCTAAAACAATGTGGAGAAGATAAAGAAAGAAGAAAAAAGCTGATGTAAAGATGACATGGGGCTAGAAGGTTTCTCTTTTATAAAGTTATCTCACTGCTTTATATAGAGTAGATTCTAAACGTCAAAAAGAGAATCAAGCCCAAATAAATGCTACAAAATTTTATTGATGGAATCCAACTTTTGTTTCATATTTGATGATGGAGTCACGAGGAGGACCTAAGCTCATTTCATTAAGCAAAGGCTGTGTGCTACGGCTTTTGAGTTTTGATTGGTTTTTGTCAACATATTAGTTTTGCTTGAAAGTTTCTTTGTTTAATTCTCCATAGGCCAGTGATTGAGTTCTACCGTTTTTGACCATATCTTATGAGGTGAATATTAGAAAACTAATGATGACCAGTTCTGTTTTCAAGATTTTCTTAAGGAAGAGGTGCTTAATTTAACACAATGGAAATTGATCTTGAGTCAATTGAGTCTCAAAGTGTGGATGTTGAGGTTGAAGAGATTGATGGATCGAGTTTTAATACCCAAACTCAAGGCGCCGAACTCCAGAAAAGAAAAAGGAAGCTGACCTCAAAAGTTTGGAGTCACTTTGTTCATCTTCCTTTGGGTCCGGACAAGAAATTGAAGGCCAAATGCAAACATTGTATAGGGCAAATGCTCATTGCCCAAGAAGCTGGTGCAGTGACACTTGGTGGAAGTAAGTATGATCCTGAAAAATTTTGTGAGTTGGTTGTAGCAGCTATAATCATGCATGATCTACCTTTTAGTTTTGTTGAATATGCGGGAATAAGGTCTATATTTCAATACTTGCACCCTCAAATTCAATTGGTCTCTAGAAATACTGCAAAGGCTGACGCTTTAAAGTTTTATAAGAGGGAAAAGCTTCGACTTAAATTGATGTTAGAGACTATCCCAGGTAGATTTAGCTTTACCAGAAAAGAAAAAGGAAGCTGACCTCAAAAATTTGGAGTCACTTTGTTCATCTTCCTTTGGGTCCGGACAAGAAATTGAAGGCCAAGTGCAAACATTGTAGCTCTGTGTACCTCGCGGACAGCAAGTACGGAACTGGTAATCTAAAACGCCATCTTGTGAATTGTCTGAAAACCTCCTACCGTGATATAGGGCAAATGCTCATTGCCCAAGAAGCTGGTGCAGTGACACTTGGTGGAAGTAAGTATGATCCTGAAAAATTTTGTGAGTTGGTTGTAGCAGCTATAATCATGCATGATCTACCTTTTAGTTTTGTTGAATATGCGGGAATAAGGTCTATATTTCAATACTTGCACCCTCAAATTCAATTGGTCTCTAGAAATACTGCAAAGGCTG